GGCCGGGGGAGAGCGGCACGGCACCCCCGCCGGGACACGGTGCACGACGTCCCCAGCGCACGGGACACCCCGCACGTGACACCCCCCAGGGACGGTGCACGATGTCCCCCATGCACGGAATACCCCCCAGCATCACTGTGGGGTGACACCTCCGAACATAGTGCATCATGTCCCCCATGCACGGGACACCCCCAGTATCACTGCAGGGTGACAGCCCCAGATGCCTTGTATGATGTCCCCAATTCACAGGACACCCCTCAGCATCAATGCAGGATGACACCCCCAGATGCCGTGCACGATGTCACCCATGGACAGGACACCCCCCAGCATCATTGCAGGGTGACACCTCCGAACATGGTGCATCATGTCCCCAGCGCACGGGACACCCCTGAGCATCGCTGCAGGATGACACCCCCTGGGACATGGAGCATGGTGGGTGACACCCGGGACACGGTGCCTGGTGAGTGACACCCCAGATACGGCACCTGGTGCCTCCGCCTCCAAGAGCAGCAATTACAAAAAACAACCCGGCAGCGCCGGCCGCAGCGGACGGGCCGGGATGCTGGAGCGGGATGAGGGCAGCTGATAACGGAGCAGCTGGAGCCTTATCTACCTGCTGGAGCCGGAGCGGCCGCAGCCCCGGGGCACAGGGACAGCTGCGCTCTGCCCGCCGGAGCCGCACAGGGACACGCGGCCAGGTGGCTCCATCGGGAAGCGCCCGCGGCGGCAGGACGGGGTGCACAGGGAGCCGGCTCTGCTCCAGCCATGGCTCCCGCTGGATGGGCAGGACGCGCTCAGCCCTTCGCGGCACCGCTCGCCTTTATCCAAGGGTCTGTCTTGGAGCGGCCCTTGTTCAGCGTCCCCCACCGCTGCTGGAAAAGGTCAAGGCTGTTTGCAACCTCCCTGATCTAGGTTTTAATCAATTTTCCCCTCTAATTGCCTGTATCCTTCATTAGCTCCTTTAATAAGCCAGATGCAGCCCAGGGTGCCAGCTGGGACAGGCAGCAGGGCCGGAGCAGCCGGAGCCTCCGAGAGCCGCGGGACCTGCGGCAAGGGCAGCCGCGGGAGCCCTCCCCACTGTGGAACGCGCGGATCCTGCCCGGATCTCGCCCTGGAGCCGGCTGCTATCGCAAGGCTGGGTAAAATGTCTTTTAAAACATTAGAAGGGGCCTGAAGGGGCTAAATTCCTGCCCAGGATCTTTTATCAAGGAATGCATCACACAAAAAGAGCCGGAGCCGCAGGGCCACGGCGAGCCGGAGCCACGTCCGCACGCATCCGCTCGCTCTGCCAGAGCAGCGCCCGGGCTGCGGAGCCGGGCGGCTTCCCGGCCGGGGAGTCCAGCTGGAATCCGCGCTGAGCCCGCGGCACCTCCCCGGAGCCAGGGAATATTGCAACAAGGCAGAGCTGCCACGCGCAGCTCCCGCTCCAGCCCCGTCTCGGCACCCTTGGCAGCAATCGATCAGCTCCTCATGCAGGGAAATAACATCGGGACAGAGGTGCCCTCGGTACCGGGTGCAGCTGGAGCCCCCGGAGACCCCGCTGAGACCAGCGCGTCCTCGAGGAGCCGGCCCTGCCCTGGCCAGAGCTCCCGGCCACGTCCCCGGTCAATGCGGAGAGCGAAGCCTCCTCCAGGCTTGCCTGGAGCCCCGCAGCCCCCGCAGAGCCCCGCGCCGCTCCTGGCCCTTGGTGGTGGCCAGGGGACATGGCACGTCCCCGGGGAGGAAGCCAGGCTGCACACAGGGACGTGGGGACGCGGATGGAGAGGCTCCTAGGGGACAACTGAGCCACAGGAGCTGCACGGGGACCCAGCAGTGTGTCCCTCTCCTGGCCCCTGTGCACAGACCCTGCCTGCCCTCCCTGCGGTACATCGAGCAGTGAGGCCGCCCTGTCCCTCCCCGATGTCCCAATGTCACCGCGCTCCTTACGCCACTCGCATCCAGGGCATGGGTTGAGCAGCGCCGCTTCCTAAGGGAGCCTTGCGGCACAGCTGGGAGCGGGGGG